GAAGGGGGGGGGGGACAATCTCAAGTAGGACCATCTCTGAAAGACTAATGGGTGTACGCAACGTGGCGGTAAAGAACAACAAAGATTCTTCCGGAACTGCAAGGCCAGATATGGCTGGAGTCAGCGTGTAGCAGCATACCAGTAACATCATGAGTTCCCCACTGTTAATTCAAATGATCTCCTTTAAAAAAAGCAATTCTTTATTTGCAAATGTAAGAAGCTACTTTTTGACCGGCGAAAGCAATCGTTCCTGTTATAGTAATCCACGAACAGCTGTAACAGCAAGAACTTATAAAACAACTTTTGTTTCCCAAAGGAGGCAAGGGGTTTCCTCACAGCAAGAGGCCTTTTTCCTACACAGTTTGCTTGCCGTTTGTCGCTTGCATCTTCACCTTGCAACATGGATCTATCAAAAGGCATCGGGCTCGTAAATTAGAACCCATTTAAACTTATGAAACTGAACGGAATGTGCATGCTGAATAAAAACTGCTCATGCAGTTTTAGTAAGTTAAACTTCTATGCCACTTCTCAAAAACAAAATTGAAGTAGGTGAAACCTGGGCACATTGCGATTTCTTGTTTTTGTAAGACTCCTTAAATTGACCCGTATTTGTATCCCTTATTATCTGCGGCTGATCGGTGCTTGTCTTTAGCAAAAAGCTGGTGGAAAATGTAAAAATGCTTACTGCGGTCGCGACACAATGGCTTCTTTTTTGGCCATGGTTGCGCTTGTACTTCGCTTAGGCCTATGGTCAGGATGAATAGAAGTGCGCAGAAGAACAAAAGCTTCATGATTCGATAATACCTTCTGAAACCTGATCAATTCTAAAGAACTGTTCTGCTTGAAATGTTAGTCAAAACGTTCATGTTCCACTGACTCTGCATCTAGCGACACTCGATTTGCAAAGCATCTTCCACAGGCACGTCACCTCAACTTTTTTCAGTAATTGTATGTTAATTATTTACTTTTTCAGAAACATCTCTTTCATCTTTTCTAGTCAAAGTTAGAACTGTGGAGCAACAAAATCTTTTTCACTAATCTAACCACACTCTCATATTGCATTCTGTCGTTTCCAAAAGACTGCTTGCCGCAGTTGGCTGTATAATATTCGCAAATGCCAAAGACTGGTATGAAGGTTCGAATTTTAGTCGTTTTCACCGCAAAATCTGTCTGATAAGATGAAAGAAGCAGCTGAGGAATTGTAAGCTTTATTTCAAGGAGCACTAAATTCAAATGGTTGTAGAACAAAAATTGAGAAAACATCCCAGTTTAGCACAGGCCTACATGAAATTTTGTGCTCCATCAGAATGAAAAAATCATTAGCGACACGCGTCAAGCGAGCCGGCCTGAACATGCGTTTTGGCAGTATTTCGTGCTATAGTAAAATCGCTTGGAGTCCCAGTAGCTAGAATTTGTGGCATGCTGGTCGAAGCTAAGAAAGTTATTTGTGCAGCTACGTGGCACTTGGTCAGAGAACATTCCCTTAAAATTTCACCCTCCCAACTTTCCTGGTTCCCGAGTTAGCAATTTTCCGGCCAAAAATTTTCGTACAGGAGAACCGCGCACTCCTTGAATTCGAAATCTTAAGGTTGTACTTGGGCTGGGTACATCATTTTGAAATTTTAGCCTCCCAGCTTCCCTGGTTTCCATTTTAGCGATTTTTTCACCAAAAAATTTGACGGGGCTGTATGTGAGAACCACGTACACCTTGGGACTGAATTTGAAACCCTTAAGTTCTATATGGACGGGAAATAATCCTACAAAATTTCAGCTTTCTAGCTTTTCTGATCCCGAGTTAGCGATTTTCCTGCCAAACGTTCCTATGTAGTGTCCAGGCCTGCATGAGGATTGGTGCCGCAGTCCTGGAGCGCACTTGGCCAGGAAATCCACTGGCAAAATTTCGGTGCCGAGGCTTGCTTGGTTGCCGAGTTGAAACACCCTGACAGATGCGCACGCACCCACATACAAACACACACACACAAACACACACAACACATCACATCGAAGTCGTCACAATATGCCTTTTTGCGTTTGCAGATTTTAAAAAACGCATAACAACAGTGAAGGGGGCCTGTGCAAAAGTTGAATAAATAGAACTAAAGGCGGAATACAGGCTGATGGCACACGCCAGCTGAACTACTTGCCATCCCGATTTTCGTGCCTTTTATCTCGACCAGAATGTAAACAAAAAGTCTAACAAAGCATAATTATTTTTTCAAGTGAAATTGAATTTTGTTGATTTCATAAAGAGGCAGATATTTCGAACTGATTTTGTTGTTATCGTTCTACAAAAGTGGGTCGCTAGTTATTAGAAGTGAAAACGTTAGGGGTGGAATACTTTAGTATATTTTTTTGGAAATTCAGAAATGCACTTTAATTTGTGAGACTGGCGTAAACGTCATCCATCAAGGAACAGAATCAGTCCTGATTTTTGCAGTGATTTGTCGTCAGTGATATAACCAAAGATCGAACGGCTTTTCGAAAAAGCTTTAGTGGAGCACTGTTCAGCAGCATTTCAGTATTTTTAAGTTATTATAGAAATATTTCTCCTGCAGTCACCAGTCACGGGACATCGCAGTCACGGCGGTGTGGGAGCTGAAACAAACGGCGCAGCGCTTAAATACATTACGAATATGAACTTGTCAGCTCCAAACTTGCTAAGAGAAGATAGTGCCGCACGTAGCCTGCTAAGCTCGTTAGGAGTAAGTGGTACTCAGCACATCTTTCTGACCACTTATAGCGACAAATCAACAAATAGACAATTAGGTGCAGAGTGAGGGACGGAAATGAGGGAGGAAAGGAGGAGATAAAAAGAACTGCTGGTGTACTAATAATCTCATATGGGACGAGCTCGCCTCGGAACGAAGTGAACCGCTTTGTCTGGATTGAAAATTATAAGATCATCGTCGGGAAATTGATAAAAGAACGACTAGAATTATGTGATTCTCATCAAATGATGAAAATTTTGCAGCATGGAAAAATAATTCTTTGATTTTTGCAAGCCCAGTCAAAAGACTAGGAACTGCTGGTGATCAGGTCTGTCATCGACGGGATGTCGTTCCACTCTTCACGAATAGATTGCTGCATTTCGTTGAAACCCTCAATTTATGCTCTCCACCATGCAGAATTAACGATGTTGACTGTTTCTGCCTTCATTCTCGAGCATACACGTACGGTTGAGCGATTTCAATAAAAATAAATAGCAACGCGCACCAGATTAGCCGGTGCGATCATGCGTTTTGTGCACTTCATTCACAGAACGATTGCCTGTTAACGATTTTCACTGCTTTGTACTTTAGTCTGTGCAAAAACAGTTGAAACATTGAAAAATAGTTAAAAATTTCACGCACTGGCACTACCTCAAAGCTGCACCTTTTTGGCTTTTATGGTTCCTGAGACAATAAATTCCCCGCCAAAATTTTCGCGGGGCCGTAGCTGATACCTGATAGCGCGGGAATGCTGCATTTGAATTTGCAAGGTCGTACGTGGGCAGAGGGTCATTGCCCTGAAATTTCGGCCCCCTAGATTCCGCGGTCTCCGAGATAATTTACCCGTCAAAATTTTCATGGGGCCGTAAGCGATAGCTGAGAATGCGGGAGCACTAAATTTGAATTTTCAAGGTCATAAGTAGACAAGGGGCATTACCCTAAAATTTCAGCTTCGTGGATTTTGTGATTCCCGAGATAACAGTTTACCAACCAAGATTTCCATAAAATACCTTCCTCCACGCTTTTGGTGGTTCCCGAGATAACAGTTTTCCCCGCCAAACTTTCCTGGGGCCGTACATGAAATCTGAGTATACGGGAAAAAGGGGGCTGAATAAAAATTTCCTGGGTCGAAGGGAACATTGCCTTAAAATTTCAGCTTCGCAGCTTTCGCGGTTCCAAGGGTAATAATTTCCCCCACCAAAGCATTGGCCGAGTCATACGTGGTGCTCGCGGGTAAGTGAAGGCCGTACTTGGTAATCCAGGGTAAATGGAAGCTAAATTCAAACTGGAGAGGTCGCACCAGGCGGGGAAAATTCTATTAAAGAATTTTCAGCCTCCTAGCTTTCGTGGTTCCAGAAATAATAATTTTTCTAGCTAAAACTTGCGCGGGGTCACACATGGTACCCGCGGGTAACTGGATTTGAATTCAGGCTTGTGGGGTCAAATTTGGGCGGGAAACATTTCAGCAAAATCTCAGCTTCCCAGGTTTTGTTATTCCCGAGATAATAATTCTTCCCGCCAAAATTTGCGCGGAGCCATACGTGGCACCCACTGATAATTGAAGGCCGAATTTAAGTTTTTGGAGTCATAGATGGACGGGGAACATCCCTGCAAAATTTCAGCGTCCCAGCTTTCGTGGTTCCCGGGTTGAAAGTACGGGGCAAAACACACTCGGACACACACACACGCCCACACTCACACACACACACAGACAACTCCGTGACAATATGCGTTTTGTACTGTTGTTACACAGCACAAAACGCACAAATTGCTCGGGAAGAAAAACGGCAGAGAAGGTACAACCTTACGTATGGTATTGGTCAACGAAGCGACAGGACGGGTAGATTCATGGTAAAGTTGAATGCATCAAACCGCTTGTTGATAATGTCTTGTTTCGGAAAGTAAGATGGATTTGAGTTGCACTAAATAAAAGGACTGGTAAGGTCGATAAAAAAGAAATTGTGCCTTTTTTGACACGTGGCGAATCTCAAATTGTTTTAGTAATGTGAATATTTGGTAACGGTATATAAAAACCTTATTATATATTCGTCTCTTTTATCTCATTTTTATGCGTTTTTGCTGTGCAGCACCAAAAACGCTTATTGTCGAGAGACTGTCTGTGTATGTGTGTGTGTTCGGAAAGCGAGAGCACTTTGTCACCCACTTTTATCTCAGCAATCAGAAAAGCTGGGAGGCTGAGACTTTGGATATATGTTCCTACCCCGTGTGTCATCCTCCCGTTTTAAAATCTTTCCCCATACGCGCCTACACCCCGCATACGAGACCCCCAAAAAAATGTTTTAAGATCTTCCCTCGTACGCGCCTAAACCCCGCGCACGAGACCCCCAAAGAAATTTGTGACGAAAAACGATTTCGCGAACCAGGCAACGTAGAAAGCTGAAACTTTGCAGGGATATTCTCTATGCACGTGCGAGCTAAAGATTTTAAATTCAGCTGTCGAGCCCCCCAACCAAAGCCTCAAGCAGATCCTCATCTCAAAAATCGTCCGCAACTCGGACCTGGACAGCAGTCGTACATGCAAATGAACATGGATTTTTTGAAAAATTACCGTTCGAGCAATAATTCCAATTTTTAATGAACTAGAAATTTGCATTTTTTCAAAAAAATCGCTCGCAACTCGAACCTGAACCGCAATATTATATGCTAATGAGCATGGATTTTTTGACAAGCGACCACTCGAGCAATGCTCCCACTTTTTAGTGAACTGGAAATTTGCATTTTTTCAAAAAATTTGCATTTGCCATTTTTTCAGAAAGCAAGCATTTACCAAAAGAACGACCGGACTTCATGCAAACTAGGCTGGAACGCACCAGGCGAGCCGGAGCGATCATGCGTTTTTGCACAAAACTTGAATTA